TATATATATATATATATATGACACTTTTCCAGTAATAATTGAGGCAAAGATGAAGACAGTTTAAAGCTTGTTTAGAAGATTAAAAAATAATAGCTATTTATTGCCATTGTGTCAATATTAAGATGTCTGTGTGGTTTTGTTTAAGCTTTGTAGAGTAATTAACAGAACATCTCTCTCAGACAGGGCTCTTCTTTGGTGAGGTGGAGGGAGCTGTCATGAACAAACTGCTCCAGATGGGGTGTTTTAAAAGGTCAAAGACCCAATGTGACATTTCCTTCTGTTCTGAGCATAACTTTTAACAAGTACGTTGTTAAAACACACGTTTTTTTATGTTGTTGCTACCTTGGCTGTGTTGCAGGATCACTCTGTATGACTATCAGGCCGTTTGCAGAGAGTACGCTGGGAGCAGCGACAGTGCACGCACCTTATCAGACGTGAGTGTGCAAGAGACCTCAGACTTTATAAATAATCTGTAACTATAACTGTCTGTGTCATGCATTTGTATGGGCTGAGATCTAGTTACAAGAACACGTTGTCTGATTGTTTCTCAGTTAGTTTTCTGTGCACGAGTAAAACATCAGCGGTCGAGTTGTAAAATGTTGTTAATAATTTTTCTCGTTTTCTTTTCAGCCATTTTCAGTGGTTAGGTGGCTCCTGACAGAACTCATTATGTAATAACCCTTTAAAATTTGCTTGCATCATTTTAGTTTTTTTATTGATTAATTAAGACAAGTGACATTACACCATGTGCTCTCTTTTATTTTAGTTTTCTGCTTGAATTCAACCTGTACAGCTGGTGGAACGTTGACCTTTCCGCTAAAGGTAACTTTAGTTCGTGTTCAGGCGAGCGTATGCGTAAAAGTACACATTTGGTCAGTTTCTGTGGTTCAGCTGGACTTCTCATCTCTCACATTTAGCTCAGAGATCTCGAGGTAAAACCATGATGGTTCCCTGTGACACAGAATACCCTGCCTTTGTCTCTGAGCGCACCATTAAAGAAACAACAGGAAACATTGAGTGTGATGGCTGCATCAGGTACTTACTCAGGCTATTGTAAAAATATAATCATAGACTCGGTAAATAATCACCCCTTTCTTTTTTCTTTTAAAGCATATTAAACTCTCTCTCACTCTGTTTGCTGCAGGTCTTTTGTCATACAGCAGATTCCCAGCAGCAACCTGTTCATGGTTGTTGTTGACAACAAGTGTGACTGCAGCAGCATCCCTCCAGTAACCATGGATCCCATCGAGATCATGTATATCCTTTTAAAGTCAGCCATGTATGTCCAACTGTTTGAAAAGTTTACTGAACATAAACACATACAAGATGCTCATTTTATTAACAGAAATTCTATTTAAGGGCTATTTAAAGCTCATAGTTTGTCACAATTAAGTTTTAAATGAGACGATGGGAGTGTTTGTTGCAAAGATGTTTTGTGCTCAGATTCTCATTATCATCCTTGACACCTTTGAACACAACGAGTCGTTAAAATGTGACAGACTGAAGCTTCAGAAGGACAGAAAAAAGCCAGAATCATGCCATCCTTTCCACCCTGAGGTATGTGATGATTTACACATTATGTAAATGGAAGCACAAAACAATCAAGAAAACCCTCTAATACCTGGAAACACTCATTTGTTACAGCTGCAATCAAAAATATTGTGTATGTATAAAATCATGTGTCATTTTAATGCTTTTTCATAAGAGGGATCATTTTTTGCTGATAAGTTTTTTGTTATTATTATTATTGGGAAAGAAAGACAGTATTTCGCATTTCACAATATTGTGCAAAAAAAAAGCCTTTAAAGAAAGATAAGTCCAGGTTTTTCCTTCAAACATTAGAAACAATAATAAAGACGACAAAGCTTAAAGCAATAGATAAGCTATTTTGATGTGGGGTTCTGTGGAAAGTTTAGAAACAGTTAATATCTTACCTGTTGTAGATAGTTTTTTCAACTACCTCAGTTTGAAAAAAAGTGTTAAATTTAACTGAATTATGAACTACGTGCTAGTCTGAGCAGAACAAAGTGGATTGTTGACGTCTTAAAGCAACTACTGTCTAAAAGATTTTGAAGCAATTTAAAACTTAAAGATTTAAAACTTGCATTTATACAGACAGTTATTTACGTCAAATTATTTGCAAACACAAGCAGCTGCATCAGCAGGTTGGAGCACCACTGGTTTAGCCTGAGGCTCTTCCAGTAGGAAAATAACATCTCTGCTTCAGTAATCAACAAATGTGCGACTGATGGAAATGCACAGGCCTAAAACATTGTTTGTAAAGACATTACATTTATGAGACGAGTTGTTTTAAGATAACAGCAATCCACTTTGACCTTTGACCTCGCCGTTAGCTTGTCAGTCCAGTCAGAAATAAACTCCAAACTGTGGTTGTTAAAAGAAATATTTGCAACAGGTAAGATACTCATTGTTAATAACATCTGCACACAGCACTATGCCAAAAAATCTGAACTACTGTTTTAACCTGTTTCAAGTCCAATACATTTCCTGAAGAAAAATAAATAAATTCTAACAGTTTAATATCAACCTTATGTACTTGTGAATACATTACAAAATAAAGAAATTATTTTTTTTTTTTTTTAAATAACCTGTCTTGTACAGGAAAACGCCATGGAGTGTGGTTCAGCCACTTGCCTCTACAGTCATCTGGCAGTAAACCTGCTGCCTCTGGTAGCAGCAACCATCAACAGGTGACCGTGAGCAGCAGCGTTCCCCGTCAGGAAGAACCGACTCACCAAGAAGATGCTTAGAAACACATGAAGAACACAACTGAACAGAAATGCCTTTGTTCACCTCTGCAGCTGGCATTACTCTACAAGACAAAGTCTTCTCCAGTAGCACCGAGACTCACATCCATCAATGCTGAAAACACTAAAAAGCTCGAGAATAACTCGAGCGCTTGGGGACTTTGCAGATCTCTAGACTGAAAGTTCGTCCTGTCGTTCTAAATGTGCGCTGAGTGAAGAACATTTTTATCAAAATCTAAACATTCATTGTGTAAAGGATGATAGTAAGGCTTTAAATGTTATGGTCGTGTTTGTTAGAGAAAAATAAAAGAATGTAACGCACACTGTGAGCTGTGACAAGATTTAAGAGAGGCCTATATTTATTACTGTCCTATGTGATTTTATTTCCTTAAATTTTTTTCTGTTAACTTTATAACAAAAATCCTTTTGTGTCAGAGAAAAATGTCTATTGAGGGCGATTTATTCTGCCAGTTCCTCTTGATTTTAAAGATGTTTGAGAAAAGCTAAATATGCATGACGAAGATGCAACAGTGTGTTTAAAGAATGTTACATTGATGTATTCAGCCATAATTTGTCTGAAAGTCCATATAATCTTCAACACGTCTAAGAAAGCTGATAAATAAACTTAAAGAAATATTTTCCTTCATTTGCATCCTGTGCTGCTTCTTCTTGTGTATTTGTGTTAATGTAGTGATGGAGCTATCCATCCATCCATCCATCCATTATCTTTACCCGCTTATTCCATTTTGGGTCACGGGGGTCGCTGGTGCCCATGTCCAGCAATCACTGTGCGATGGGCGGGGTACACCCTGGACAGGTCGCAAGTCCATCACAGGGCCACATAGAGACAAACGAGACAAACAACCATTCACTCTCCCACTCACACCTAGGGACAATTTAGAGTTACCAATCAGCCTAACATGCATGTTTTTGGTCTGTGGGTGGAAACCAGAGTACCCGGAGAAAACCCACGCATGCACGGAGAGAACATGCAAACTCCACCCAGAAGGCCCCTGGACCGGGGTTTGAACCAAGGACCTGCTCGCTGAGAGGCAGCAGCTCTACCAGTTGCGCCACCGTGCTGCCCGTGATGGAGCTATGATTTCAAAAATTATCATAAAAAGTAGTGGGGGGGGGGGTTCCCATCACTCGCTCTCGAGCCAGACGGATGCTTTTCTTCCCTCTCCTGCCTCCCTCCTGCTTGTTTGCTTTCTGTCCTCTGTATCAGAGCTTCTATTTACACATCTTATGAATGATACATTTCTGTCATGGATCTGATCAGCTGGACTTTCAACGCAGTTGATGAAAAATTTTCAACCAAGCAATGGGATCCTGGAGAGCCCTCATGCCCCGCTGAGACGCACGTGGCAGGATACGTCATGGATATGTGGGGGGAATGGAAGTTGATGTGCCTTTCTGTATTGTCTTGGGAGGATGCTGAAGATATAACCTATATGTCATTGGATTTATGATGGCAGGGTTTCTGCTTTTTGGCACCGTCAGATACCGATGTTATCGGATATTAAAGAGGACGGCGGCAGCAGTTTTGGCCATGGCAAAGCTGCCGACCTTATGTGAAGGTTTGGTTCGTCCTTCAAGCTCTCAGACTCAGCTGATTATGAGCTCAACCGTAAGACGGAAGCGATTTATGAAAATCATAGGCCGCTTGTGGCTTCTAGGACTTGACAGCATGTTTGGGAACGACCTTGGAGGAAGCTAATAAGCACAGACCAGTGGAATGCCCACAAATCTGGACATTTTGTATATCGAAAGTACCAGCAGAACTCAAGGCTGATGAAAAATAACAGTCTGCCTTCTCTCAGTTGCTTGTATGGTTGCTTTTTATCCTGGTGTTATTTGATGTTCACTCATTGTAGCACTTTGAGATTCATTGTAAATGTAAGGTGCATTATAAATAAAAGTTATTATTATTAAAATAACAACTGTGGCTTATCTGAATCTGACTTCTCCATTCGGCCTAGAAGCAGGCCAACTTATCAATTTCTCCTGGGATGTGGGTAAACTAAGAAGGCTCTGCTCTAGCCGTCCCCCCCCACCCCCGAGAATTTCTGTGAACGCTTATCAGAGCTGTACCGGCTGACACCAACATCTTATCAGGACTATGGCCATCTGGAAGGGCTTCATGGACAAATCTCATCGTCTTGTGGCCAAATAACGTGTCTATAAATGTGCTTACTGGTAGAGTTTTTTTGATGTCTTAAATCATGTTCTGACAAGGACAAGGTGTGAAGAGATCTTTTGTTGTAACGCCACTATAATTTCCTCATGGTCTTTTCCTCGTTTCTATCTAAAGAATGAAGGGTTGCACACTTAGGAGCAGCAGCAACGTGAACTAGGCCCATCTTTCAGACGACTGTACAGACATAATCTCTGTACTTCGGTGCAATGATAATAAAGTTTATTCTGATTCTGACTTATTTTGTAACAGAAATCAAATGATGCAACAAAGCATGAGTAGATAAACAATATAAAATGTTGAGATTGTCAAATGATAATATAATTGTAAACTATTTCTTTAACTGTTTCCATGAAAATATTTAAGTATAATACATTTTTACCATAGAAGGATTACCTAAACTAAGCAATGAAACAAGTTTTAATACACGGTAAAATTTTAAAAAATCATGTTATTAAAATTTTGCATTTAGAATTTTTTTTAGAAAAACTTGAAAAAAAAAACTTAGCATTGAAAAAGGCCATGTCTGAGTGCTTCTTGCATTATAAAAAAAAACAACACCATAGATGTTTTTAAGCCATTGTGTGTCTGAATTATACATATTAAGGTGACCTGGTGTTAACATGAAGAAGTTTGTATTAGAAACAGGAAAAAGAACTTCACTATCTTATTAAACACAAAAACATCAGATTTCAAGCAGAGGGAAAGAAATGTCAACAATCTGTTTTTTTTATTAAAAATGATTTTATTCATTTCTGTAGTTTTGTGTTATATATGAAAGCAGAAATGAATAATCTGTGTACAAATTGATCTTAAGACAATTTATATTTTCTTCTAAACTTGTCCACGTTATTCACAGGCTGGGAGTTTCTTAGTTAAAACACGAAACAGTAAAAATGTTGATAATATTGTTTATGAATGCAAGAGCTGACAGTTGTTTTCAGAATTAGCACATCATTTATTTATAAAAGAAAAACAAAAGAAATGTAAAACAGGTGACATTCCAACAGAAATAATGATAACTAAAAAAAATGCCAAATTTACGCAGGCATGTCTCTTATATTTTTAATGTCTGAAACATTTTCTGTTAAAAAAAAAAAAAACAAAAAAAAAAAACAATCCTTTGTTTGTTTGTTTGTTTGTTCAGTTTGATTGTACATTGCAGTAAGTTGTGTCCATTGGGATGGATGCAGCCGGTTCATCACTGATGGTTGCATAAACGTGGTAAATGCCAGACTTGTAAAAAAAAAAAATAAAAAAAATTATTTTAATGTTTAACTAGTTCAGTAAATAAATACCCAGTATAATCAGTTGTTTGTGCTTACATTCTCATTCTGAGAGTGTTGACGATTCATCTGCAGAGTCTCTGCATGAAATAGACAAAAAGATTAAAAACGGACTGAAGTTATTTTGTTAATCACATCAATCCACACTGTCAGGTGTGTGACATTTTTTTAAGCTCATTTGAAAGAACTCTGCTGCACATGAACGGAGACGCCAGTTCTCACAGCAGCGTTGACGTTCTGTCAGAGAAAACAAGCAGCTCACCGATGGGAGAGTCAGCTGCAGGGGAGGAGGTGATCTTATAGTAGCCTATGTAGCCAGCATTTTCAACAAACAACTTGTTTCATGAGAGAGATTAAAAAAGAGAAGGTAGTGGTCAGACAAACTCGGTTGTTGTTTTATGGTCTATGTATATCACAAATATAAAACACATTACCACTTCGCCTGTGTCAGAACGGTTCAGTCCTGCAACAGAAGTGAAACAATGTGAACACATTAAATAATGTGCAAATACACTGATGTTGCCTGGATAATAAATATGTATTTTACCAGCAGAGTTTGCTTGTGGTCTATGAGGAAGAAAAGAAGAACAAAATTCAAATTAATGTGAATCTTGTACACAAACAAAATGTACATTACATATATAACTGCAATTCCTAAAATGTAGAAAGAAACAGAATTCAATGATTTGCTAATTTAATAAATCCATATTTTGAGACATTTTTTTTTTAAATTAAGCAGAATGATAACTTCTTGAAGTACAAAAATATCTATATGTCACAAGAAAGAAGGAAAGAGAATCACGTAGGTAATAAAGTTTAAAAGAAAAACTATTTTCCTTACCTTTTGTAAACATATATCTCTAAATCAAGTGAAACAAAAGAATTGAAAATGTATTTAGAAAAAAACATATTTTAAATTCATGAAATGCATAACAACAATTTTCTGAAAATGTAATACAGGCTAAAATTTATTTTAAAAAATTATATATACTGTATATATGTGTGTGAAAATTATATGTTTAATTGTTATACATATTAATTGATTCAATATTTTATGATTATTGTATTCAAAGCCTCAACCTGCATTTCTGCTGCATTTATTTGGATGTATTATTAAACTTTTTATTTTAATATATATACTTTCTTTATGCTTTATTTTTTTAATAATTTCCTGAGCTGGTGTCTTTTACAAAAGCAGAAGGTAGTTTATAATAAGTGTGATTTCACAAATATTTAACCAAAAAAGGATAAATTCCAGCATACTGATCTAAAATCTTAAATGAATTGATAAATATAAAAATAAACGGCCCTGGTGATGAAGAGTGATAAGTGCACTGGAGCACTTCCTGGCTCTAAATGTGAAGCATTGCTTCTGTTCTTACCACTTTTTTTCATTATTCTTCTTTGTCTTCTGAAACAGAGAAGTACCCCTCCCAGTAAAACTACACCCACAGTCACTCCAAAACCAGAAGCAGCTACAAACAAAATCCATATCCACTGTTGTTGTTTCTGCAAAGGTTTCTGTTCTGTTTCTGGAAGAAACAAAGACCAAAGTGTGTTACTATCATTTCCTGCAGGCTCGAAACATATAATAAAAGTGGAAATAACACATCATCTATTTTACACCCTGTTTAAAATATGCTGTGATAGATGTACTTTAAATATCACTAAGTGTTCGCTGATAAGACATTTAAACCAGCCACTAAGGAGCACAAGCCAGTGCATCTCTTGTTCCTGTCCCAAGCCCAGGTAAATGGTGAGGGTTGTGTTAGGAAAGGCATCTGAAGTAAAACACTTTTGCCAAAATTAACATGCGAGTTCATCTAAGTGACACCATACCTGATCAATCGAGGCCTGGGTTA